TGGCCGGTGAGTGTATATATATATATATATATATATATATATAAACATTTCGCATTTATGATTAAAAAAACTCCTCAAGTGAAAACGTTTTAGTTTGACCTGGTTTACTTTTGTAAAAAATCTTCTTTAAGAAAATTTTGGCTATCCGATTATTGATCATAAAAATAATTGAAAGATTAATAAATTTGCAAAGTAATCGTTAGTTGCAGCCCTATTCTACATTCTACTTCTCTGCATTAAGGTTGCTTTGAGGTCTTGAAATACTCACTATATCACTAATAATTACAAAAAAAAAAAAAGAATCATGAAGAATAAAGAACGTAGCATTAGTGTCTCAGCTGTACCTGAATGCAGAGCTTGGAGCCGTTTGGAAATTTGCTTATATTTCTAATATCAAAATTAGGGCTGGGCAATAATTCAATAACGATATATATCGATCAATAGACGTGTGGCGCAATAGAAGAAAAGAGCGTCGATAAAAGTTCGATTAAAAAAAACGCAGTTTTCCTTCCTTCTCATTGTAGCCTAGCATGTAGGTTTATGCTAGTCACTGCTTCCTCCCAACCAATCACAATCGCGGACCCAGGCACGCCGTCACAAAGCGCTGCCCTCTCAAACCACAACACAGAGCACATGAAGATGTCGCAGCAAGGAGAGGCGGAGGAAATTTTTCTAAAGAAGGGTTTTTGTAGTTCGCCAGTTTGGCAGTATTTCGGTCATGGCAAGTTGGACAGAAAACAAACCACAGTCATCTGGAAAATGTGTAGGGAACCAGTGAAAACGAAGTCTGATAACACAACCAACTTTTTTTTTATCATCTCAGCCGCTCACACCTGCAGGAGTACGAGCTGTGTAGGCCCCGGGGCGGCTCTGCATCCGAGGAATCTTCGGGAATTTCGGGAAAATATTTATATATTTTCAGTTCTGGGCAGTTTCCCACGTAGTTCTAACAATTGAGAGAAAAATGCTGAGGGGCCAGTACCTTCAAAGTAATAACTCAGGTTAAAGCAGGAAACTCAGCTTAGAAGAATTTAATATAGTCATTTTCTTGTTTCTGAATGCACCCGTGTGAGAGGTCAGATAAAGCTTTAATACAGATTTGCTTCTTTATGTTTAATAAATCTGGCCAAATGAATCAATACGACAGAGTATTAGGGCCAGGCTAGACATTTGTTGTTTTTTTTTATTTCGAGAATAGAATATGAGAATAGAGTCATAAAATTACAAGAATAGTCGTAAAATTACAAAAATAAAGTTGTAACATTAATTTTCCACTATTTGTATTGTTATTACACTGTCGCAAATATAGAGCAACAAAATTAACTCTCTGCATTTACCCCATCCCCAGTGGCAGTCCATTGGAGTGGGGCTTTAACTCAGAAACCTCTGGTTTCCAAGCGCAATGCCCTAACCACTAGACCTTCACTCCCCAAAGCAGGCATTAGCATGAAGGGCCCCACACACTGGCAGCTCATTCCCCCCCAGCTGGGATACGAACAGAGACTTCCTGTTTACAGGACAGGTGACTCACCACTTGAGCTAGCCAGCCGCTATGAGAATAAAGTTATAAAATTACAAGAATAAAGTGGTAAAATTAAGAGTATAAAGTCATAAAATTGCAAGATTAAAATTCTAACATTATGAGAATACAGTTGTATTTTATGACAACTCTTACAAGACGCACTTTCTTTCCTAAAATTAGGAATTTCGAGCATCATGTGAAGTTACACATTGGCATCAGTTTGAAAAATAGGGAAATCTTTTAGCGCCCCAGTATCAAATTGGGCAGTATGTCAAAATGGACTCAGGTTACTGTTTAGTGAAGCTGGTCAGCCGTCAATTGCTGGTCAGAGCTTGAAGCTTTCTTTCTGAAAGGGGTTGTGGTACAATTAATTCACTTTATTCTCGTAATGTTACAACTTTATTCTCGAAAAAAAAAAATTCTCTAGCCTGGCCCTAATACTCCATCGTTTATCTTTTGCTTAATTATATCAAGATACTATTTTCGGTCTGGAATGATTATATGATACAGCAAACAGCAAAAATCTGGGACATCATCTGATTTTTAAGGAGTCCAAGTTGTGTCGAACTGAGCGAAATACCTCACTGTTATTGAAAAATGTGTAAACCCAACCAGTTCTGGTTTGGTCCATCTTACTAACTGTGTGCAACAAGTGTGATAGCCTGGAGCCCTCTGCTAATTAGGCGTCCCTTTTTAAAGTTTCACCACAGAACAGAGCCCTGCTCACTTCATTCTGCACATAAACAAACAGTGCCTGGAGCTGGAAAACAAAGTCTGGCACGCATGCTTCCTAAACTTACACCTACAACTCTGCACGGTAGGTCGTTACCATGCATTAACATGCTGCATTCAAATAATATAGCCGCAGTAACTGTCCCTGCTCTTGGGGACATGTTAGATTAGATTTCAGCAACCGGGATGCTAAAGCTCAGGGGGAGTGGTACACGATGAAAGACATTTATAAAAATCAGCATAACTAAGCATATTATTAAAAACAAAATCAGCCGTCTGCTTGAGTTAAAACAAAAAACACAACAAAACACAGGAAGTCATCAATCTGGAAAGTACGGCTATGAACATGGAGGAGGGTCAGAACCTGATCGATGTATCCATCAGTGCCTCTAATGGGCTGTCTAAACCAAAATGGATTCCTATAACACCAATAATGGAGCCAGTTAGCTAATTCTTCGGGAGCTGACATTGCTAACTGTTCTCCGACTGTAATCCTGGCTTAGACATAAATGACTAGTGCACACCACTGACATAAAAGCAGAGCTCAAAACCAAGATGGATTCTCTGTTTGCTGATTCATAAAGTTGAATTCATAAATTCTGGAGAAATAACAATATGACAGGCATTTCTTCTAAACATCAGAATCGGTTAGAAACTCTTATCTGACTGTAATTATCTACAATGGATATGATGAATCTCACAAAAAAGTAAAAAAAATAGTCTATTTTTTTTTATTTTCATTTCATTTTTTTGCCACACAATTATTCCTGCTCCTTAAATCGTGCCCAAGCTGTTGCAGCTCTAATATACAATCAACAACATTTATAATATTGACATCTGCTTAATTTAGTGGCAATTTTCAAGCACGTATTGCACAGAGGATTGTACATTTTTCACCAATTTTTTTCTTTCTGTGAGAAAGTGAAACAAAGTGATTTTAGTTTGTTAAACTCAAAGCTCAGCTTGGTTTGGCTGTTCACAATTCGCACTCTTCATAGGTTGCAAGCTCGTTTTAAGTTAGTATTAAATTAAAATAAAAAAGTGATGGATGGTGCTCCTGTTATTTCAACAACATTCTGGCACCTATGTCTCTATAGTGTTTGCACCTGTATGTTTCACCTGGTGCTCTCTAGTCACTGTTAATGTTTTTCTTAAAATCCCTAAATCCAGAGAGGAAAACTGGGTAGTGGGCATTTTTCTTTGGTGAACAATCTCCCAAAAGATATTAGACAGGCATGTTCTGTATCTTACACTAATTTACTGTTTTATTATTTTTATTCAGTTCCTTTTTTATATGCTTTTATTTCTATTTTATCTCTTTCAATTATAGTTTTACTTATATTGTTTTACTTTTTATCATTTGGGTCCTGTTCAGCACTTTGTTTGAAAACTTTCCAATTAAGGTTATAGTTGCAACAGAATGGATAAAAGGTTTTGAGTTATAAAGGCTCAAAATCTTGCATCCAGACTAGATAAGGATAAAGATTTTGTTCATTTTCCTCTCACCCTAACAGTCGGCGAAGGTACAGACTTCCAGAGGACACATCTGTGGACATATTTAAAAGCAAAAACACCATAATTTCATCTCTTTCATATGACCAGAAAGTAGATCCAGATACATACAGACATAGGCTGCACATTTAGTTTAGAATCAGAGGAGGGATTTTTATATATATATATATATATATATATATATATATATATATATATATATTAGATATAAATAGCTGGAATGACTAAAAGGGTGTTGTTAATGACCAGTGTAGCATATATTAGATTACTCAAGTATTTCATGGTCTGAGCTAACTGTTGCCATCTGTCCAAATTTGAGTAAAATGTGATCATACAAACACCCTTTAAATGAAAAGAAACGTAGGAGAAAAAAAACAATTGATGCCTTAGTAAAAACCACAAATCAAGAGCAAAATTATTATTTAAACTCACAGGAACAACAATAATGGGACCTCATTTCCCACCCATACATGCTTCTAAACTACCTACCGGAAGAAAAACACGTGTTCATTGCATTAACTTCGAACAAACAACAATAATAAAGAGATTTTATAATTGAAAAAATAAATAACATAAAAGAAAATCAAAGTAGCAATGCAGCAGCGTAATGTTTTAGAAATAAAGCATCTACTACTTTGTTTCCTCGGCGACAGGAAGCTGTTACGTGTGTCGTCCCAAAAAAAAAAAAAAACGGGGCCGGATGTTTAAATGCATCATTTTCAAAACCTACCGTTAAAATACACGTGAAGGCACCACTATCAATAGAATGACCTGTAGAGAAATTGAGTCTGTTTAATTTGAATGAAATAGCATAATGTGGCTAAATTTACCTGAGCTGATAGGAAACAAAAAAGAAAAAAAAAAAACCCCAGTGAGTTACGCCAACGACGTAAATAAATCCGAAGGAGAAGCAGCGGGAAGCAGGGAGGGGGGTTAAGGTGATGATAACAGGGATAACATGGAAGAAGGCAGGCGCCATGAAGCGCATTACCTCGAAGGTATGAATTAATTTCCTTCATAACGGCCTTCAATGGAAAGGTTCCTTGGACCGTTAAGATAAACATTTCCCCCAAGAATTAAGAGCAAGTGGAGCATATTTAACTCAAAATGAAAAACATAAAGATAACAATGTGATGCCAACCCCCCCCCCCCAAAAAAGACACGAAGCAAGCAGATATGTAGCACATATCTCCATCACGTGACTTTAAAGGAGGTGAAAAAAATCAAACCATACCTGTTTAAAACCTCCAGAGATGAGTATAGAGAGGCTCTTTTTTCCGAAACGCGGACTCGCAGTCGGTTCTGCTCCGAAAAATAATGCACGTCCCACTACCTCAGCCTCCTAAAAATCTCAACTACAGTCTACACACACACAGCGAGTATCTGCCTGGAGCTCAAGGCAGAGGTGTCCATCATCCTTAAGTCCCGCCTTTTACAGTGAAAACCATCATTTACTCAATACCCATTGGCTTAGATGAATCACGTATTAAATTATGGAATTTGATTGGTTGCTGTGCTTGTCAGTTTTAAATAGAGGGGCTGGGTCAAATGTGTAAAGAGCTAGAGTAGCTCGGCAGGTCCCCCCTAGAGGGTATATTCTACAACATCATCTTAAGATATATTTCTAAGACTTTAAAAATGTTTGGGTTTTTTTAATAATAAAAGATAAATAAATAAAAAAAATGTTCATGCTGAAGTTTATTTATTATGCGTTTTAATTAAGCCAACGCAAAGTAGAAAATAAGTGTAAAATTTAAGGAAATATTAATATCAGAAATTGTGTAACAAATATAAAAGTTAAAATCATGACATATATTTATATTCTACTTCAGATGCACCTAATTTAAATCTAATGAAAACAAATGCATACCCAATTAGTGAATAAATTCATAAAAGGAGTCTGTCGGGGAACAGCTGATCCCAGTCTGAATTTATTCAACTGTTCTGTGGAGCTCTTGAAGGTTTGCTTGAAGAGTAGGCTTATCAAAGGAGAGTAAGCTTGTAAAACAACATCTCAAGCTCAGATACTGTCCAATCCACAAACAAAAATAAAAGGAAATTAGTCAGGCACCACTACAAACCTAATAAAGGGCTCATGGTAGTCCTCCATGATATGCAGAGATCCACAGCTTAGACGGGAGAATCCATCAACAGGATGTACACACATCTACACACAGCCTGTGTAACAAGGTGCTATTGTAAGATGAAAGCAAAACTGAACTTTCCAGCCAATATGCAAAACACTACATGTGGCAGAAAAAAAACGGTGCATCACTCTCAGCACAAGCTCCTCACCATGAAGTAGTCTGAAACATGTTGTGGGAATGCCTTACAAGAATAGGGTTGGGAAGCTGGATAGAGCAGATAGAAATAGATGCAGGGAAACTGAAAAGGGAACATCAAAATAATGCCCTAATGTCTGTGTTCAATACAGGTAAATCTAGCCAGGATTTTTTTTGCAAAGAAAAGAATGGCAAAAATTGAGCTGCATATAAATGAACTGCCCATCCTCAGATTTTTAACTGCTTACATTTTTTATTTTTTTTTGCCTTCCACTACACATTTCTTTCTTTTTCTGGATGCATATCACAAAAAAACCCAAATAAACAACAATGGCAGCTGATATGATAAAAAAAAAAAAAAAAAAAAAAGAGCTAAGGGAAATTAACACTTAAAAAAATACCAGTAATGTACCTGCTGTCTCTGGTATGATTATCATTAAACGGAATATGGAGCAAAACATTTAGAGTAATTCTGATAAGACATACAAAAACTTTTATTGATGAAATGAATAAAAAAATATAAAGACAGACAATGCATGGGCAGATCATTGCATAAGCAATGCTACTGTCCTTAAGCACCCACACAAACACTATTACATACGCCAACCTAATAAAGAAGCTCAGGTAATTGGATTACAAAGTAAGGAACCATGCAGATTTGACATCTACATGAGAGGAGTAAACAACCACACAACGACACCAGTCACCCCTGGCTGTAGGAAATAAAGGAGCTAAATAAACCTGGAGGAAAACAAGACTGATTTCTAATAAAGAGGTGGGTGGAGTGTGCATCTTCAGACTCACCATTATTGATGTAGCATGGATCCAAGGCAGGACAAGTGGGAGCATGCGCAGAGAGACAGAGAGGGAAAAGCAGAGTATTTTTAGTTGCTTTAAAGCTCTACCCCACCCCTCGGCTTCACAGTACATCAGCATGTATGTTTAATGAGCTGCATCTGCTAATCTTAGCTAGATGCTGTCAACCAAAAGCAATTATGTTAATGGAGAAAAACTTAAAACGCTTTTCACTCACATTTTACAGTTTTACACAAGAAATGCACAAAAAAGGGGAACATAAATTCTGGAGCAGATCAGATCATTTGTGTAACAACCTGGGATGTTTTAGTTTATTTAAGCTGAAAGTGATTAGAGTACAAACATCTAAAAGCAGCTATTAACTTGCACAAATTATACAGGATTAAGCAAATAGTCACTGGCATTCTTTGAGGCTTTTGGATAACTTAGATAGAAGATGTCTCGAAGTATTTCTTTAAAGAACAATCACAAGAAACATTCAAATCAACATGGCAATAAAAAGAAAAAATCTACCTGATATTCTGTTGCCCCATCCTGCCAGAAGAGTTCCCACAGTGAGAATAAAACAGTCATGGATCTACAGCTAATCAGCCTGCTGTCACCTATGATTCTGATATTCTCTTTCCCTCCTTTCTCTCCTCTGCTATCCAGCCTTAACCATTCTGCTAACACCGAGAAGCTCACAGAGCAGCTCCTCGCTCTATGTGGACCAGTTTGATGATTGCTGCAGAGGCGATCACACCAGGACAGTCATATCCTTGCAGTAAAGGAACAGATTATGCTATGATCTTTAAGCCAAGAGGCTTCAATGTTGGAAAAAATAGCAAACAAGAAGGGTACTAGCAGTTCCGTCTCCCATGCAGGCATGAGATCAAGGCAGTTCAGTTTCTCCGGAGGATTAGTGTCAGCCGCTTCTGAGGGGAATTACTCCGACTGAGCCATCTGGATAGCAAAACACTGACTGCAAGAATAGGTATTGTTCAGCGCAGATTGTGATTTTCTGAGGTCTGATCTAAACCCAATAAGAAGAAACAAATTGAATTTAGCCCTGATATATAAACAAGATCTACCCTTTTCAACCAGGTGCTTGGATCATTGAGTTGTCTTTGAATGTGTGCTTTAGACAAACTCTAACAGAATCGTGCCTAACAAGTTTTCTATTTAAACTAATCAGCTGTGATTAGTTTACCTCATCAAGGGCTTTTCATGGATAAAACAGACAGACTCAATTGGGTTAGAAAGTTGTTTAATTAACTCAAAATATCGATTAATATTCTATTGTAACAGAACATGGTGCATAAAGGGAAAAGATCAGTGTCTCCCAAAACTGGGATTGGGACAATGGGTTAAAAAGTGGAGAATCTTGTGAAATCAAATTCAACCTCGAAATAAGTAAATTTTTGTTGATTAACTAAGGCTCCTGCTTAAGGTAAAGGACAGTAGTCATAAATTAAAATAAAATTGAATTGAATCTACTTGTTTTGATTTTCTTTTATAGTGACACGCTCCCAGATTTACTTTGCTTTTGCTTAACTGCAGATAAAAGACAAGTTTTTCCACACATATAAAGAATAAACTTCATGAGCCCAACTTGATTGGAATTTTTTTATGCTTCCCATTATAAAGAAAAAATGACCTCGGGTGAATTCATATTTAGAAATGGCTTGCTTTCATTTTTTTCTTTGTTTTTTCCCCTAAAAATAAATGTCAAACATCATTTAATAACATTTAAGTGTAAGATTATGATGCTACAACAAAATTTAAATTTAATGTCAGATTTTTGCTAATATTCAACTGTAGGCTTAATATAAAAACAATACACATGCGAACTTTTATTTGTTTGTATAACTGCTGGCCTGGTAAGATTCCCAGTTATTGACATTCTTATTTTTTAAGAATATGTTCCACTGCTGCCACCTGTTGTTGTGTTCTTGTATGTTGCCTCTGGTGTGCCCTAGGCTTAGCCACTATGTGTCGTCATCACTTACATGCTGTGTGTCATAATCTGGTCCATTGGTGTTGCTCTGAGAAAGAAAGATTAGTGCCTACAGCTCTGTTCAAAGTTCTCTAATAAATGTTAATGAAAGAAACTGAAGCATCCATCGGCTCACTATTTGTTACACTGTTATTACCTCTGCGATACAGTCTGATCTGTATAGCCCATTGTCATGTTTTATGTGGTTGAGTAATATGACCATATTTTAGGCAGGAACTCTAGAGCAGCATACTGAGTTGAGGAATCATAAGGACAAAAAACATTAGAGTAAGAAACATGTAAATTTAGCAAAGAACCGAAATCCATGGCAGTAGAATGGAGGGATCCAGTGGAGAACAATGGCAGAACAGTGAACTTAAATATTGAGGGATGTGTGGAGAATCGCATGGGAAGTTGGTGCTTTAATCAAAGAATAATGATTTGCCAGAATATAAACCAGACTAAGGTAATTGACTAATTAACACAGAGACATGAACTAAGACAGAGAAACAACTGAGAAGAAGATGTGTAACAGAGAGCTTGCATAAATTAATCCAAATGTACATGAACAGATGTTTGGTCCTGTGGAGCCAGCTAGCTTTTAGTCTGTGAGACAGACACCTTGTCTACTTTAAAGGCTAGGCTTAAAACGTTCCTCTTTGATAAAGCTTATAGTCAGAGAGGCTATGGTTATCCTGAGCTATCTCTATAGTAACGCTGCTATAGGCTTAGACTGCTGGAGGACATAAGGACCACTTTTCATCATTATGGCTGTCTTGCATGCTTTTTATAGATTATTTTAGAGATTACTTATATATTATTTATAGGATAAAAAAAAAACCTGGTCTAGATTATCAATACAAGCCTAGATGTTATTATTGTCATATTGGATTAAAATAACTGAAAAAGTCCAGTGCAGTCCTGATATTGAGAGTTTGATTTAAATAAAAGGAACTGCACATCCTACTTTTGAGTTTTATTTTATTGTGATAGGCTTAACCAGCTTCTAAAGATACTTAAACCTAACCTCAAGTGTCAAAGCTACACCCATGCCATTAAGAAAGTTTCATGTCATCATTAAAGTATGATAGTATAGGCAACCATAAAACAGGACATTACACAGAGGACTGAAGTTGAGTTTTCTCAAACTCTAGAAGCTATCTCAATAGTAATGCTGCTATAGGCTGAAATTGCTGGAGGACATAGAGACCACTTTTCATCATTATGGCTCATTCTATCTATATCGTCTCATTCTGATGTATGTGTTAGTTCAACTCCTAACTGTATGTGTTCTCTTTAACCCTATTGACATAAAACCTGGCTCA